GTCAACGTCTAAGGAAGCCTACGTCTAGTGCCCTACTGTCTACACCTATTGAATAAGAACCCGTGCCTTTGGATATAACTCGGAGGTATGAAAGCCTGAACCTATGGAGAGAAAATTTTTTGAGAAGGGGGGTCGGTCAGTTCAGTGCGGGATTTTCAGTGCGGGTTATTTTCAGTGTGGGGCATTTTGGGAGTGACGGGGCGAATTGGGGAGTGACGTTTTGTCCGGGGCGAATTGGGGAGTGACGTTTTGTCCGGGGCATTTTGGGGAGTGACCTTTTGTCCGGGGCATGTTGGGGAGTGACGTTTTGTCCGGGGTATGTTGGGGAGTGACATTTGGGTCAGACTTGGGATAGGTGGAAGACAGGAGTCTTATAAAATGGGTATAGACAGTAGAGCACCATCTTGGACCCGGGGGTTCATTGGAGTACCGTGTCGGGGCCCAGGGGACACTAGAGTCGGTGCAGGAGAAGTTGTAGACGTCTGGCAGGAGCAGTTGAAGTTGTAGACGGCTGGCAGGTGCAGTTGAAGTTGTAGAAGTCCGGCAGGAGCAGTTGAAGTTGTAGACGGCTGGCAGGAGCAGTTGAAGTTGTAGACGAGCCGTTGAAGTGCAGGAAGGGGGGGGGTTCTAATCAAATCTAAGCTCTAAGTGCCCTACTGTCTACACCTATTGAATAAGAACCCGTGCCTTTGGATATAACTGGGAGGTATGAAAGCCTGATCCTATGGAAAGGATTTTTAAAAAAGGGGGGTCGGTCATTTTTGGTGCCAGATTTTCAGTGCGGGTTTTTTACTGTGGGACAGTCAGGGACAATTGATCACTGGACATTTGGTCCAGGGACAATTGATCACTGGACAATTGATCACTGGACATTTGATCACTGGACATTTGATCACTGGACAATTGATCATTGGGACAATTGATCACTTGACATTTGATCACTGGTCAATTGATCGTTGGGACAATTGATCATTGTTCATTTGATCAGGAAGGGGGGGGGTAAATCAAAGGTCAAAGTCTAGTCAACGTCTAAGGAAGCCTACGTCTAGTGCCCTACTGTCTACACCTATTGAATAAGAACCCGTGCCTTTGGATATAACTCGGAGGTATGAAAGCCTGAACCTAGTAGAGTTTTTGCAATTCAATAGGAGCGTATTAAATGTGCCTTGTGCAATCCATCTGGGTGTTTCACTATAAAAAGAGGTCGTCAAGCTGGATCGTTTCTGGAGTTTAGGAGTGCCTGAAGCTCTCGGAGCTTGGAAGAGTTGGGTGTTTAGAGAAGAGTAAACCCGGGGTCGGGGGAGGGGCCCGAACCCATTTTTAACCAACAAAAAAATAATATGATAAAAAAATACCACTTGTAAAGAAAAGGACTTTTTGCTTTCTTCTAAACGAATCAGCAAAAACCCTTTTTTTTACAAGTGGCTTAATTGTGCTTTTCCGTTTTGCAGCTAAGAATTTTGCTGTTTTGATAACATTTTGTGCTTGAAAAAAAAAAACAAAAAAAATCGACGCAAACGGAAAAGCACCAAAAATAATAAAGCATATTTCATTCAAATATCTTTAGACCTTTAAATGTGGCGGAAGCATCTTTGCCACATTTTTAGCTTCTCTCATCTTTGTAGTCCATCATCAATTCGTTGCAATCCAATGCTCATTTTGAACACTTCTTGCAATAATAAGTCTCGGTGTAGCTGTTGATGTTACAGAGCCGTCAGCCTCAATGTACTAGTTTTGTTGTTGCAGCACACATCTGAAAAATACCTTTAAAATTAAAGATACGAAAATTGTCGTCTTCAAAAAAATAAAAAAGAAAACACGTTTCTGCCCACAGCTTACTCAAAGAGAGTTAATCCCCCCAACAAAACAGTCTCTCCACTCCCCAGCCTACCCAAAGACAGTCTTCCATCCCAAAGAATAAAAAAGAGAAAATACCAAACCTTAGAGTTGTGATGATGCTCAAATTCATCCTTCTCAGTAGTCTGGGTGGCGTCTAACCAAGAGAGCGTTTCCTGACATTTGTCCAAAACCTTCTTATGTCCTCACTAATCTTATCCTTGAGCTAAAAAATTTTTGAATTTTTTTTGAAAACCTTTTTCTAAAAAGAAGGGCCCTTCCTCAAGACGTAAAGGTCAAAAAAGATGGAAGACAACCAATCCCTGCCCACAGCAATACTAACAGTCAATCCAACCCAACAAAACCCAAATACAATCAATCCCCTAACAAGAGACAACCCAGTAGTCCTCCCAAGTCACCCCAAAACAGTCAATCCAGCTCCAGCTCATCCCTGCTCCAATCCCCAACAAAACAACCCACTCTATCCCCAAACAAAACATCCAATCCCTTAAACAAGAAAGCCCATCCCCAAGACACCAAAGCCCTGCTTTATCTCTCAAAATAATCAAACCTTATCATCCTCCATTGTCTGCTTGATGTTAGAGCAGTAAGACAAAAGTCCATCTCAACTGGATCCATAGTACTGCGGAACAAATCGGCACAGAGTTCTTCGAAACGAGCACGCGTGATGTTGGTGTATAAGTCAATTCCATCAAAGAGCAAATCAATTTCAATGCTAAAATGGATTCAAGTTAAGCCCAAAAAACCCAAAAATAACCTCGCTTGAGTGGAGCTAGACAAATCCTCTTAGCGCGTTCACAAGCAGTAGAAAACGACGAGAGCACGAGGATTGGTGGCAAGATCCTTCTTGTGCTTACGCTTGAATTCAGCCACAAAATGGTTGACCTTAAAAAGACAATTTTTTGATTTTAGAAAACCTCAAAAAATTCCAAACCATTCGATTGTCGAAATCTTCGCCTCCAAGGTGAGTATCTCCAACAGTCGACTTAACCTCAAAAATTCCGTCTTCAATAGTCAAAATAGACACATCAAAAGTTCCACCGCCCAAGTCAAAAATCAGGACCTTGCACTAGCCTTGGCCTTTCTTGTTCAAGCAATAGCCGCAGCAGTTGTCTCGTTGATGATACGCAAAACATTAAGTCCAGAAATCGTTCCAGCATCCTTTGTGGCTTCGCGTTGACTGTCGTTGAAGTAGGCAAGGATTTCCTGAAGAAATAAAGTTAGAACTAGTAAACTCATTCCAGAAACAAACCTTGATCATTAGTAATGATTTCGACTTTTCCATGCTGGAATACACCAACGCAAAAAAATGAAAACTGAAAAATTAGAAAAGTTTAGAAGATTAGGAGGCGTGAGATGAGGGTGAAAACGAAACAATGAAAAATAATAAACCAAAAACAACTTTAAAAAGCCTAAGGAAAATAAGTTTTTCGGCAAACTAATAAGTTTGGAAAAACATGAAAAACATTTTTGATAAGCGACATTAAGTCATTGAAAGAAATGAACGTAGGAAATCAGAACAATAAATAAATTGAGAAAACATCAAAATCAATAACACTCTAACAGTCTCATAGTTGACAATATGAAATTAGTTTTTCTCGTCAAGCCTCTCATATCAGTCTCTCTTTTTTTCAACACCTCTAGAAAAATCTTTAATCGCTGATAAATTTAATAAATGAAACTAGAGACCGGAACGGGATTCAGCAAAAACGCGATGAACGGGATTAAATCCGCGGGATCCTGCTCCGCAAAAATTTCTGAAGAAAATCCCTTTACGGAATCTCGGGAATGCGATTTTACCGCCCTATAATTCCGCAATAAAACTTAAGGGAAAATACGTCATTTTTTGACAACGACGTTTCGGAACTGCGACATTTGCGAATAAACGACATTTGCGAAAATGCGACATTTATTCTTTCTGTCAGGAAAATAAATGATATTTTCGTCAAGTCGCTTGATCCATTCACGGATCCATTCAAGGCCTACTGAATTTTTATGTTTTTTAAAAATAATTTTTCAGGAGAAAATATTCTGGCGAATGCATGTTTTTCCATGAAAACTCATATTATTTTAAACTCATCAAGTCTTCTGACTACTTGATTCAAAAGATTAATGCAGACAGCTTCACATCAAATTGGAAATTATCCTGACTCTTATTTTCAATTTGAGGATAGCGAAATTTCATCAGAGGATCTTTTTCTTGATGATTACTCAAGTGTTGGTGTTTGTGTTTGGCAAACGATCAACTCTATATTTCCATTCGTGTTCAGATCTTTGGCTGCTTCGTTTCTAAAGTTGATAGTCTTGGCATTTATTGGTATTTTAATTTTACTATTTTTAATTTTAATGGGATCAGCCCAGAAGGTTAAATCCAAATATTTGGGGGATAAGGAAGGATTTGTGCGGATTAAGTGAAATAAATGGATCTGGCGGATTAAGACAGATTTGCTGGGATTAAGAAACACGATTCAGGTTATCTAGTTCGACTGCCAGCCTGATCTTAAGTTCCCTTTGTATCATCCCAAGTATTTGGATTTGACCTTCTGGGGGTACCCATTGTTTCATTTTACACAGAAATTTAAGTGAATTTCCACTGCCAGCAAACTTTAAATGACTTTCTGAATGGCTTTATAGGGTTTACCCTCCTATGTTCGAATTCTGAGCGTTTGGCACTGATGTTACCCTTCATTCTTTATTTCCTGCTGAGTTTTGCTTTAATGAGCTTTGATCTTATTCAAAATAATAGCAAAGGACCTTTTTGTACGCTATTCACAATTTTATATATTGCTTTATGGTAAGTTCTTGATTTTTAAATATGCTTTAAATATCCAAATTATAGTCAATTCTTTATGGATATTGAGGATTTTTTGATGGTAAATTTTATATTAAACTATTTCTTAAGTCTATCTCTGGAGACCTACACCCAGGAATTTCGATTACCCTGAAGATCTACGCTAGGTTTGTCAACACCCTTTTTTACATGTTTAATCGGGGGATATGGAGGGATTAAAGGAAATAAAGATTGTCGGGATTAGAGTGTAGGTCTTCAAACAGATATAAGTGTGAGTTTCAGGGTTGACCCCATATAATTAAATAAAAATATTCAATTGATTTTTAAATTTCATTTAGATTAGAGGAAGTTTAATGATTGCTGCTATGAAACAAATTTCATTATCTATTGATATAGACGAATTAACCTCAGAGGATTTTACCAAAATCAAAGATGATTCTCATCTCCAGATTCCAAATTTCTTCAATCGATTTGCTTTTATTTTTGACCCTTCAACATTAATTTTTGGACCGTTTATTACTTATACACAATTTTTGGAGATGAAATATACTTTAGAACAAGAATTGCGTGAATGTAACTACTATGTAGGTTTGTTCTTTCAATTGAATGGGGCCTATTCCAATTAATCTATTCCAATTGAGTTAAACTCACACCCTGTTATGAACGTTGATTCAATAGATCCTTTAATTAAAAACAAACTTGGGGAATAGTAAGAATATGTCGCACATAAGCGAGGATATTACCTTAGTTTTCCTGGGCTTTATCTTATATCATCTTGAATTAGTGGTTTATAAATATTGAGCGGCCTTATTTTTCTTTTGTTTTATTTTTTAGAATTTGCTTTTGAGGGTACTACATTCCTTTTGGCACTTGATCATCGCAATGTTTTTTCTTCTCCTTTCAACGTGTTTTGTCGATACTGATATTTTATCTTCCTTCTACATTTTACCTTCTTGGTTTATTCAATTTACAAAAGCTCTTGCCTTCCGATATTCGCATTATTTTGTATCATATTTCGCTACATCTATTGTTTTTATTGGTGGAGCATCCTTTTCATTTGAGATTGTTAGATGGACATCTGTTGAATGGCCTAGATCTCTGGCACAAGTAGCCTCGGTTTGGAATATACCAATGCATTCATTTCTTCACAAATGCACGTTACTCTTTAATTAATAAGAACAATATAGTTTAAAATATTTGGGTCGTATTTCTTGGAGTAACTCGAAATGGCCATTCTTTAGTATTTTATATTTTTTCTGTGGGATTTATTTATCAAATTCCACTAGATCACTTGAGAAATATTTTTACAATTTTTACTGAATGAATAGAGAGATTTACCAGCCCCAATCGAATTTTGGAAAATTCAAGTAAAAGTCAAATACTAAGGAAAAATTGACCATTTAGACTATCTTTCAGATAGATAGGGCTTGATTTTTTGATTAGTAAATATACTTAATTTTAATGAATCTTAAAATTCTTTAGATTTTTATCGAAAACTTCTTTCCAATTGTTTTGCTACTTTGTCAGCTATTCTAATTACTTTTGCAGTCTCTTCTTTATTACACGTAAATTCTAAAATGTTTTTTTTTAATTTCCATTAAGGGACTTGATTTACGAATGTGTACAGTTCTCTTATCGTTTGGTTTATTTGCGTTTGCTGAAACAGGTTAAAAATGATTTATTATAAAACATTTTATTTTCCCTGCTGTTCCACTAACATTACTTAACAATTTAAGGTCTTAGAGAACGTTTGGCCATTTCTCTATCAGCTTGTATTCGCACAAGGCCTTGTCCGAAAGATGGAGGATGTTTGCACCGATATAAATCTGTAAGAAATGATTTATTTTTTGAATAACTGTTCGTTAAAATAGAATTTAAATCCATTGGTGATTTTGCCATGTGTGATTTTTCTTTTGATAAATGGCTACCAGCTTGTCTATCTCGGTTTGATTATTTAATATACTATTATCTAATCTGTAAGCTAATATATCGAAATGATATTAAGAAATTATGGGAAAACCCAGAGGATTAAATCCTAGAAGTTCGTCCACGAAAAGACAACTCCAAATATTTGGGCGGATAAGAAAGGATTTGTACGCATTTAGAATGACTAAGGGGAGATCAATGGATTTGGGCGGATTAAAATCAATTTGTTGAGATTAAGACGGATTAAGGGATATGACAGAACTCCTCAAGTAAAATAACCAGGAAAGGCATCAAGGAGAGGCAAAAGTACATAATCTCAAATTCCATTATCCACTCAATTGTTTAATTTAACCTTTTGGGGATAGACCTTTTGGGGATAACCGATTTTAAAGATTATTACAATATAATTTCAGGCGCTCTTATTCACAATTATGATCAGTTTCAATGGGATACTTGGATTAACGAATTTAAACTGTTTGGACATCTCCTTGGATTAATAATGTTGTTGATTTGTATTTTGTTTGATTATAGTGGAATTATAAAGAATGCTAAGCAAGAAAAGATGCAATATAAAAAGGAGTAAATACGGAACTAATCAACCTACCTAATTTATTTTAATTATCTCAAAAAATAAATTACTTAATCTTGCAAAGTATTTTATTTATTTACTCTTGAATATTTGCTTTTGAAGAATATGTAAAAAGCAACCTATCATATGTTGATCAAAAGCAAATAAACAACAAATACTTGTCTATCAATATTTCAAAAATCGATAGTTTACTCATAAAAACTTGTTTTAAAATTTTGGTAGCCTTGAAGACTGCACGGCCTTCAAATATAAATCGATCATTAAGTATTTTGTTAAAATGGCCAAATTCTTAATCGAATAAAAATGGTGTTTGCGTAAATATTTTTTAGATCTAGAGAGGTTAAAAATGTACATTCGATACACTTTGTAATGATTTTCTAAAAGTGAACTGAATATAAATAGATAAAAGAGAACGTTTTTGCTGTGTTCGCGCGCGAGAATAATTGTTTTCTCAAGTCATAAACTTTTTTGATTTTGCCCCTTAAACAAATATACTACCTACCTATATCTTTTCATTTCTTCCCACTAAAATCAATTGATATCTGGTGATTAGAAATATATTGTGAATCATGTTAAAAGTATAACGTGGTTAATTTTGTCTATTTTTTCTTTAATCTCCATTATTTTTGATAATTTCTCAAGCATTTTAGTTGTCCTATCGTCTTAGATTTCTTGTCATAATCCGATAATGATCAGTCTAAGTGACTTAATCACAGTACTACCCATATTTTTGCTTCATTTTTGCTTTTTTGGCATAGCAAAGGGTGATATTCATTGTCCAAAAATGCCATCTGGAGTTGAGTGAGTTTTCTAATTTAATTGTTTTGAAAATAATTATCTTTCAGTTTGTATTGTGCAACTGCTTGTTGCATTAGCAACGAGGGAATTGGGCATGTGAGCTATACCATCTTAAATATTTTTAAAATTTAACCAAGGGTTATTACTGCTGCGACAGTCCAAATGGGATGTCGCCGACTACTCGTGTTGAACGCTTTGTGGCAGCATATTCTCCGGGCACCTTTCAGTTTGTTTTAGAGATTAATTCTTTCTAGAGCCCGGAGGGCCGGATTTTCGGAGTTTCGATATTCTGTACCGTAGTACGATACGGAATATAATTCCGGACTACTTTCTTCACAAGTCCATTAATTTTCACTTAGGATTGATTATACACTGTTGGTGTTGGGTCTGATTATTTCTATTATACTATCAGTATTATTGTCGTTCTTCTGTTGCTTGCTATGTAATGGTTGTTGGCTTCATAGGTGTGTTCCTGCTAAATATTTTTAATAAAAATTTAAAAATGTATTTTAAAAAGGCGCAGGAATCCACACATGTACGAAAATGTGAATGATGATGGATTTTATCCCATCTGTTGTGGTTTTGGGATACCTATGGGGACGGGTAGTTTTACATTCATTCATATCAGTTACCTTTCCTTAATTTTTTAGTTGTCTTCAGTACACATCCACCTCAGTTTAGAGGAGATGAAATGTATGGAGGATCATCACTTAGCGGTGCAAGTCGAGGACGCGTTCGTTTTAATGAGGATGGAACGCCGAGGTAATACATATTTTATGCCTGTTTGTTTAGTTAATATTTTTTCCTAGGGGCGTGCTTAAGAACGGGAACGGAAATGAAACTTTTACACAACATTGATTAAAGGCCATAATTACTAAATGATTGAATTTACTGCATAAAATTTTTAAAATTGTTTGTTGCAGAATTACCGTATTACTTCTAATCGAATACCCCCACTATTTGATTGCCCCCTCTAACAGAATAACCCTTTTGGAAAGTGATTGAGAAATATAACATTGTGGCTTAAATTTCGAAGATGTTCAATTCTCGAACAATATTGCAAAAGTAGCCTTGCTCTATTATGAATAAGTATATTAATTGAAGAATGTTCCACGTTAATGGCACTAGTGTAGAAGAGGATAGACTGTTTGTATAGGCAATATTTTTCTGTTGAATTAAACGTCAGCATAATTTTTCTTAAAAAATCTGTTCGCTATATTTCATTTACTAATTTACGTAATTATTTTCCGGCCATTTTTGATGTTCGGTCGCATCAATATTACAATAATAATGGAGGGGAAAGACTAATTAATTCGACAGGTGGAAGAACATTCCTGTCGGTGGGATTTTTAACCTTCCTATGCCGTTCTACTAGAAAAAGTCAAGAGAAGATGGCTGGTTAGAGGCCAAAAAACAAAAATTGGAACGGCGTCACGAAGGACGGGAGAGAAAAATTAAACTAACAATAAAAAGCAGTTACTTTAAAACATGGGTCAGTGCTGACGGGCGAAAAACTGTTTATGCCTGCTGGGTAATTTTGAGACCTATAAAGCATTTAAAAAACGCACAAATTCACACACTTACTGAAACAGTTTTCTTTTTTGTGATTAGAATTTAAAAAATAATTTTCCATATAATTTTTTTGGCAAATCGAAAAGTTTTTTAGTTGCAGATTTAAGTTTCACCTTTCCTAAAAAATTAAAATGCAAGCTCATTTCTCACAAGCAACAATTATTTTTGTCGCAATGTTCGCGTTAGCGATATTCGTTTTCTTACCAAGCTCCACAGTTGCTTGTGGAGGAGGATGTTGCGGTTGTTGTGCAACATGGTAAGAGTTCTTTTAACATTATTGTCAATCTAATAAAGAAATTTTTTCAGCGGAATCGGTGGCTTTGGTGGAGGTTTTGGTGGTCCAGGTTTTGGTGGTCCAGGCTTTGGTGGTCCAGGTTTCGGCGGTGGTTACGGTGGCGGTTTCGCTGTTGGAGGTTTTGGCGGTGGTTATGGAGGATGTGGAGGAGGTTTTGGTTGCGGTGGTGGATGCTACGGTTGCGGAAAGAAATAGAACCTTTACGAAATTTTTCAGCAATCAAAAATGTTATATGATACAATTTATCAGGAATATTTTGTGCTTTGTTCAATTATACTTAATCATTTTATCGAAGTTATAATATAGTCCTATAAGTCTCCAGAAATTTTTAGTGTCAAAAAATGAAAATTTTATTTAATACTTCGATAAAATGATGATAGATTTCTATTTTATGTTTACATTATTTAACAGATAAATAATGCAATATTATATATTGTCTATAATAATGGCAATTTGTAAAGTGGCAGAAGATTACTAATTTAACCCAGGGATTAGTTGTTAAGAAAACTTGATTCTAGTCAAATAAATTAGGTAAATAGATGTATCCTGTCGGTATACCTCAGTTCAGTCCCTACCCTATAACTCATGAGGAAATAGTCGTTTCTTACTGTTCTTGATACTATTAGATAGAAAATAAATACACTACAAGATAACAGAAAGAACATAATTCTTAACTGATTGATAAAAAAGTTATGATCGATAAAGTGCCGAAGAATCACAATTTTCTGATAAAGCTAGTTTTTAAATCATAACGTTTTTATCAATCATTCTAGAATTTTGATTTTTTGAAATCTTATAGTGTATTTAATTCTTAATCCAATGGTACCAAGAACATGAAGAAGTGACCATCCCTTAATGAGTTATAGGGTCAGAAATTAACTGAACTGCTCCGGCATATTTACTTATCCTTTAATATGCAAAGCATTTTGGAAAAAAATATTTTTTTGTAATTTTTTGCAAGATGACGTATGTATTTACGACTTATTTTATGGAAATTTAAATTTTGCATCCCTTCAAAAGATATTATTCGGAAAAAACCTTTATCAATCAGTCAAAGTAACCCATCAACTTTTTTAAATTTAAATATTAACGTGTAAACTTTGGTTGAAGAAAATTGAAATTCACCGAATTAGTTTATTAAAATGTGTCGTTATTTTAAATTAATTGAAGGCTAATAAATCAACAAGGCAACGAAATAGATAAGGACATGGGTTGTTTATCAAGTTAAATCAGCAGTATATAAGTTATGTTAATTGAAATATTTTTTAAAAACTTCAACAGCTGATTTTGCAGAAAAGTTGGTTTGCGAAATCACTGATTCTCTAATTTAATTATAATTTCATAAATATGAGGTTCCAATCCTATTTAATTATACGGCTGGATTTTAGCCGATGAGCGTTCGAAAGCCATACGAATCATCCCGGCAGGCTGTCTATTAGTCTCAGCAAGCTTAGACCACTCTCCCATATCGGAAACGTGGTGCAAGCTTATTTTTGGATGATAAAATAGCTAAAGTATATCCACTTATACTTTTTTGAATCTTATATTATTAAGTTCACTCGTACAAAAAACAATGAATTTTAATATTTTGCCAGCTGTTTTCATCCTTTCAGCACTTGTTGTAACCTTGCTTGGTCATTGTACCGAAGCAAGCTGTGGGGGTTGCTGCGTCACTTGGTTTGATTGTTAAATTGAGATATATAAATCAATTTATATATTTTTCAGTGGTGTTGTTCCAGCACCAGCTTTGCCACCTGTGCCGGCTCCAGCACCAGTTCCTGTGCCCGCTCCAGTCACCTACACAGTGCAAGTGCCAGTCCCTGTACCGGCACCAGTCAGCTATGTGCCAAGTTGCGGATTTGGGGGATGCGGTGGATGTTATGGCTGTGGCGGGTGTGGAGGCTATGGCTATGGTTGTGGCAAGAAATGAGTTGATTTGAAGATAGAAGATAAACAAAGGAGATAAATTAACTGCCTTTTAATATACACATAGAACAGCCATTTTTAAAATTAATAAATATCAATTTTTAAAATTTTCAATTTTCAAAAAATTCAAATATTAAAAAATTATTTACGTAGTACATAAAATTTTTTTATAAATTAATTGTTTATAAAAACAATAAAAAATCCAAATTAGATTCGACGCATTATATTAGCTGGTCTTCTACCCAAAAGAAGGCTTTTAAAGGCACGACGAAATTCTGCATTAAAAATTGTATAAATTACTGGATTCATAAATGAATTCATATAACCTAAAAATATAAGTTTTGATTTTATATTTAATAGCAATTTATCAAACCAATCCAAGTTGTGTAAAAGAAAGGTCCAAAACCAATCTGGCACCATCCCAGATTTAATTGAAAACAAACAGCATTAATTATATTCAACGAAAAGAAAGGCACCCAGCAACAAAGAAAAGTGCCTAGAAAATCAATTTAAAAGCTAGGTTAAAATGTCCAAATTAAAAAAAATTCTCTATACTGACCAACAACAATTCCAAGTGTTTTAGTTGCTCGTTTCTCCTTCCTCTGAGATTTGTAAACTTTACGTCGCAAACTAGCATGACGATCTCGCCGTGAACCTTGAGTAACGGGAGTATTCCCTCCTAATTGTAACTTTTGTTTTTCCTTAAATTTTATGTTCAGTTAAGTTAGAAATTAAGTAAACTACAATCTCTTTTTCGGCACCGCTAGTTAGGGGTGATGTTTGATCATCTTCATCATTCAACTTCCATTTTTCTTGTTTGACATTCTTGCTTTTTATATTTTGGATTAAATTGTTAGAAATCTTCGAGTTTTTGTCTTCTGTACATATTTGTGGAGAAGTAAACAACTCTATGGCGGAAGAACTACGCCTGGCGGAACTCTTTCGGCTTTTCTAGAAAAAAAATAAAATTTATTTGGAAAAACTAGATTGATACTACAATTGAGTCGATCCCTGAAGACCTATTGACCCTGAAGACCTACAAATAATACATAAAAGGGAATATAGAATGCACACTCACAATATCGCACCAGTGGTTATCAATACAGAACTGGGTACTTATCACAAAGAGCTGGGCACTTATCCTCTTGATCACTCTAAATTCCTCTATATACGCTTTCTAAGGTTTTAAATCTTCAAGGGATAGGTCTTTAAGTTAGGCTCCTTACAATTGTTTCTTGAATTGATGGACTTCTTATCTCTCTCACAACACGATTTCCACCATTTAAAATTTGTTCTGTGGAACACCTACTAATATTTATTGAAATGTTAGCATCATTAAGGCCTTTTTCAGAAAGTAGATAATGATCCACTGAAAGTTTTAACTGTATAAAATTTAAAACTTAATTTAATACCTAGAAAATTCTTTCCCAACGTAATACGCCTGACAAGTGGAAAGGAAAGAGTTGGTCTACAAGGTGAATGTAGTATGCTGTTAGGGTTTACATTGTTTTTTTGAATGCTTTCCAAAGAGTTTTTGGTTATTCTTTCCTCCTCTTTTAAAGGTAATAGAGGTCGCCGTTGGCATTCATCTTCACGCCTAATCTCTTAAAAAAATTTTTTTAAGATAAAAAAAATTTATAAAATTGCCTCGATTGCTTTTCGTTCGTAAAGGATAATTTCTAACACCCAATGAAGTTAAAGCAGTTCCTGATTTTCGTCGCTCAGATTCATTAACAGAAAAAATTGTTCCAACATCACAGGATGAACGTTTTCGAGCTTGAAAGATGGAAGGAACAACTTCATCCGCTTTGACTGAAATTGAAGATCCCCCTCCCTTACTAGTTTCAAGCACACCAGAAAATGATAGACGGAAACGATTGATCAAACTTGAGTCGATTGAACGTTTTGTTGGTTCGAATGTTGTTGTTGGTTGTGATGAAGTTCTAGGAAAATAAGAAATAACTTGAGAGGATGGGAAACACAAGTAAGCGGTTAAGAAAAATAACCGGTCACGTTGTTGACGTTGGCTCTAAAATATAAAAAACCCCGGTTTCCCGAAATCTAT